GTATTTTAAGAAATCTTAGACTTTTCCCTTTCCTTTTTTGCCAATTAGATTTATATAAACCACAAGCATTTAACAGCAAAGTATTGACAGTGTAGCATATTCCTTGACCACGCAAATTGAAATAACCAAGAAATTCACATTCAAATAAAATGGATTGAAAACAGACCGAAAATATAAGTAGAATAAAAAACAATCACACGTGCGGTTGAAGGAAATGAACTTCTATACAATATATCATAATGAAAAGTGAATTAAAGCAAAAGTACAAAAATGCCGGTTCTTACATTTTACATTTTAAGGTCTTTCCACATTTCCGTGGAAAGACCTATTAATTTTGTTCTTATTATTATTGTTATTTTTTTTCTTCTGCCACTTTTATTTCTTGCGAGAAGATTTTTTTTTTCGCAAAATGTCGCTTAGATATTTGGTATATGATATCGAATAGTTTTTACGCATCCCCCTATAACACTGTTGTTCTTGTTATCTCTACTACTTCGTAACCATTAAAGAAAGAGACAAATTTATTTTTCCAAATTGCTCGTTTTATCCTGAGGATTTTCTACAATTATGACTGACGCGATTCGGAGACCCCATATGAGAGTTATTTCCCCTAATATATTTGATAAAAGGGAAATGTATTTTTAACTAGAAAACAACATGTAATAGAGACCTACGGTCTTTTGAGTTGGGGTCCTTGGACTATCAAAAACAAAATCAGATCAAGGTCAAAGGTCAAGGTCATGTTTTGAATTTTGATTTTGACTTACAATAGCTTCTCATCATAAATTGATAAGTCATAAGATATCAACAAAATATTTTACGTAATTGTTTGTTACGAAATGTCGCAACACATATACTTTGGTTGAAAGGGTACGTTGACTTTAAATAGTTTTCTTCCCTCTTATATCTAAAAATAGCTGTATGGTGATATAACTCATTAACTATATATAGTTCATACATAGGGTCTTTTGATTTGAGGTCCTTGGTTGATGACCTTGAAATTTAGGTCAAGTTCAAAGGTAAATTTGACGTTCTAGATATTGACCTTTGCTATAAATTCATATTATACATGATAAAACTGTGGGGTCTTCTGCATTAGGTTGGTAGTTATTTGACATTGAAAAGGTTAGTGAGAAGTGACCTTTTTTAAACCGGAAGTAGCCATTTCCTGCACTGATTTCATTTGAAATTACCTAGAACCATATATTTTTGGAATCAGTGTGAAGTAACCTATCAGATGGTACCAGAACTAAGATGTTTTAACCGGAAGTTGCAAATTATCTCCCTTATTCCAAGTATAAGAATATAGAAACCACATATTTTTGGAATCAGTGTGTCTAAAGCTATCATATAAGACCGGAAGTGACATTTATAAAACCGGAAATATCAAATAATCTCCCTTATTTCAGACGAAAGTATATAGAAACCATTTATTTTTTGAACCAGTATGAAGAAACCTATGATTTGATTGAATTAGTAACTTTCAGTAAACTGCAGGTAGCTTCTTGTCAATTATTTAGAAATTTAATGTGGAAAGACCTTCAAATGTCCCTTTTTCCTATCGAAGGTCGGTGGTTTTCTCCGGGCATTCCGGCTTCCTCCACCAATATAAACTGGCCGCCACGAAATAGCCCAAAAGCGGTGCTTAAAAGTGGCGTTAAAACACCAAAAAAAAAATCAACAAAAAAAAATAAAATTACCAGTTCTCGGAACAATTGGTTTTTAATCATGTATAATTTTTATGAACGAGGCAGGCTGCACTTATCGATAAAGTTATTTATTATATTGTATTTTAAACTCATTGGATTATTTCGTGTTTAAACATTTGAAATAAAAACGTTTTATTTAATTATAATATGTTCTGCATTAAATTTCTGTACACAGACATACTTTAACATTGTTTTAGTACCGCAAAGCCGTTAATTTTTGTCAATATATAAATTTTACAATTGTATGTTAGCGAGGAAATTTTTCACGTTCTACTTGTCCCGAGTTCTTATATTCCTGACGGTATTGGGGATCAAACTTACACAAGTTTATTTCAATTCGAAAGTAGCAAAAAAAAAAAAAAAAAAAAAAAAAGAGGACAAAAAAATACTCGTCTCGGAAATTTATCGCCATTCAGTGTTACTCAAAATGTTTTCATCCCTGTTCGACATGTTGTCCCGTTAACGGTACGCAACAAATATTGAAGTGTAAAAAGGCATGAATATATTCAAACAGATAACATACTTTGAGCTATTATTAGTGTCTGTTATCAATTTTTGATACGGTTCGTGATCTATGTACCTGGTCTGTTACGCATTGATTGTAGAAAAATGAAGTTGTTCTGTAAATGTCCTTTTCAAGTGTATGTTCATTTTCATATCTGAATATTTGATATGACAGTGTTTCTGTTGTCCTTTAGAAATATGGCTTATGGCTAAACTGTCTAAACAAAAGGCAGTATATCGCATAAAAACTGGCATAGCTTAGCTAATCAAATTGAGAATTTGTATGACGACCTTTGATGCATTCATATTGGTTTTAAATGACTTGTTGTTTCATAGAGGATTGCCAAGCGTCGATTAAAAAAATATGCCGGTGATGGTATATTAAATATAATAGGTATAAGATTTGAAAAAAAACCTCTAAACGTTGTATTTATAAACTAATAACTCACTAAAACCATTTGAGAAACTAAATTGTGTCGAAAAATGGTTGTTTAAAAAATTAATAGAAATAAGAAGATGTGGTATGGGTGCCAATGAGACAACTCTCCATCCAAGTCACAATGTGTAAAACGTAAACAATTATAGGTCAAAGTACGGCCGTCAAGACGGAGCCTTGGCTCACAGCAAGCTATAAAGGGCCCTGAAATTACTAGTGTAAAACAATTCAAACAGGAAAGCCAACGGTCTAATCTATATAAAAAACGAGAAACGAGAAAAAACACTTATGCACCATATCAACAAACGACAACCACTGAACAACAGGCTCCTTAGACCAGGTGCCTGTATGCACTTCGTTCAGATATGTCCTCACTCTAATGGTTTATTTGAGTTTAATTCACCAGCTAATGCATTCGGAAAATTAAAATACGAAATGACTGACCTATAAGTATGAACAAGACGATCGATTGTGTAAAACCGGTTGAACTTATTAGGAAAACTGGTAGGAATCTATTTTCAACATACACAAATAATTTTCATTCTTCTAATTCCATTTAAGCGTATTGATTTACCTACTTTGTGCGTCAGTTTGATAAAGTCTCTGAACTTTGTGTTCGAGAAGGTTAACGGAGAACATTTATAGATTTGGCTTTATCAGAATATCTGTTATGCTCAAATCGAAAAGATATCTCAAGAAATTAGATGATTAATGTAAAGTCTTTTTTGCACTTCACAGCATTCAATTTGTTAAATAACTTCAGCATATTGGATATACAAATAAGAAGATATAGTAGGATTGCCAATGAGACAACTCAAATGACATAAATATTAACAATTATAGGTCACCGTACAGCTTTCAACAATGAATAAAATCCATATCGCAAAGTCAGCTATAAAAGAACCAGAAATGACCAATATCCTCGAATTATAATCAATTAAAATAAATCAAAGAAAGATTGTCATACGTAATTATTGAAAAAACACTAAAAGTATAATCGAAATAGCAGAAAAAAAAACATAAAATGATTAAATAATGATATGCACAGTAATCTAAATAACTCTCCAGGAACAAACACATAAGTTGTATGTTTATTTCCTAAGGATAATCATTTCATTTTAATGAAAATTCGTTTGAAATGCAAAAAATATTTTGTTGAGATAAGTTTCCATTAATGTTGTTAGGAAATATTGTTCATCTTTGTTACAGATCTGAAATAATCCATCTAATATATAATTTAGTAATTCCGGTTCTTTGATATTTAATACAGACTACAACTATCAAGTGATTGAAATATTTCTAGATACTGGCACTTTTGAATTACGAAAGCATAAAAATAATATCGGCGGGAAATAGAAATATGGAACGATCAACAATATCACGTCAAAATAAAAAAATAGAATAGAAAACCAACATGTTAAAACTCCGAAATTAAAGATGGATAATATCAAATTATCATAAGTTATTTCATTTCGAAGCTATGTGGATGCTTCTCTCGTGATTAAATAAAAATAAAAACGATTACGAATGTGTCACTTTTGATATTTTATTTCAAAATAAAATAATTGTTATATTACAATTTAGAAGAAATTTTAGGATATTAGATGTTTCACCAATCGTGTATGGTAGTATAAAGAATGATTGGAAACAACACTTTATAAATTTCCTTCGTCTGAAACGCTTTTCTGGATTTATCCTTATCAAGGACATTCCTGGTTTTAAAAACACCAGTTCTTGACATAATAGGGTGATATCTAGAAATTATTTACAATTATTAAACAATATCGGTTTTTTACAAAGAAAGCCTGTAATGAACTCAAATAAATATAAATACAATTTTGATGTTTATTACGACGGTTGTTGAAATATGGAATGTCAGCTTATTGTATCTTCAAAGTAAGACAGGATTGGTTTACAGCCAATCCGTAAACCTCTGCAGCTTCCGCTACTATTACTAAAAAAAAATAGTTAGATATGCCGATGTGTGATGAATGGATTCAAAGCAAATTGCTAAGCGTGTTTACATGTACACAAGGGGGAAGTAATTCTCCTAGAAACATTTCAAAGTGCTCATTTTCGTCACTGAGGTTTTGTTTTATTTACCCTGCGTGGACTGTTTAAATTTGTTACAGAACTATGATTTCACAGATTTGACAGATACATCTTATGGAGGTCATCACAATCGTCACAATCAACATCATTATAAACTGACAATCAAAATCAATACAAGCGTTTCATTTAGGTGATAATAATAATAACATTATTTTTGGTGATTTCAAGCATGATAATTATATAATAATAATTACATTTTAATTTACTTTGTTATTAATGTTTTTATTCATATTTTCTAGGTTGTTAAGATGCTGATAATTGTTGTAAGCCTTTTTGCCTTCTGTTGGTTACCACTTCAAATATACAATTTTGTGTCAGCTTTTTATCCCAAAATAAACAGGTAATGATGTTCATTAATAGAGTAAATACCTTTGAAAAACTTGGATCACACAATAGGTTATTTCTTGCAGAATATGGTGATAAGAAAAGGAAATGGTGTACTTCTCAATATGCATTAATTAAAATAATTGTTTTTCGTTGCATTCGAAAAATATGAATCATTATTTAATGATAAGGAAAGTCTTAGCCTCAACTTAAAAAAAATGTTTAAATAGCTTTTTAACGTCTGTTGAGTCAGTACCAGTTTTTCTAGTAATACCTTCACCAGTAGCACTCAAAGCTAAACCATGGAAAACAAAGGTTGCATAATAACTTTATCAGCCATATTACAAAACACAGTAACCTTAACGAATGTCTAACGCCATTTCTAGTCATATGGTCTGATATCTTGTGTAATGACTTTGTTATCTCTTTGATAGATGTAACATACCTATGTTCATGAAATGTCCAGATCTAAAATTGGCAAATATTTGGGTAAATGATCGGAACCGCCCGAACTGCAATGAAAGCGAATTCAAATGCATCAATGTGATAACTAACTTTTGCTATATAAGCATCACCCGTCAAAATATTCTCGTCAAATTTAGTATTAAGGGTAAGAGCTATGAACAAGAATCAGCATTAACAGTTAATAACTATTCGACATTTATTACAAATACGTGTATTGTATGATCACCTTTAATCCTCATTGTGTCTCTTTCTCATTGACGTTGACCGTCATTGACGATAATGTCAAATTGGTATTGTGGACATGTGAGAGTATGACATAGTCCACATTCTCATATTGCGTTGAAGAATCGAAACACTGTTTAATTAATCAAATGCATGAAGATGACGTTAAAAAGAAGAATTTAAGTCTTTTTTTACTATCTTGCTTGAGTAGTGTTTGAGATAAGAGTTTCTATCTGATAGTAAAATTGTTGTTACGAGGGCAAGCTTTGGTATACCTTCAATACCGCTTGAAGTTGTGTATTAGGTTTAGGATGTACAAATATTTGTCCTGCTTCATCACTTGAAAGACAGCATTTGTCGAAATACGCATCTGTTGGAGTACAATTGACACCGTTTTATGCTATGACTAACACTGTGTCGAGAGTTTTGCAGGTTGACTGTTAGTCTCAGATGATATCATAAACCAGTTCGTAGGTCTTTGGATATAGTATGCACATATTAGAATTGGTTTTTGTAAAATTTGAAGTAATGAAACATAAGAAATTATTGAAATTATCGTTGTTTCTCCCTCCAGCACGGCTCTGATTGTTTTCCGGATTTATCTATTCTTTGGTTTTCACATTTATACCAGCTCTTCAATAATTTCATAAGGTGTTGGATAAGCTAAAATATGACTCCAGGTATATGCATGATACGTTTTGTTAGTTTGGAATTTTTTGCTACCTAAAGACGCAATATCCATGTCCGTCATATTGTTTATCTCTCGTATGTTTGTGTGCAAATATAGTTTTGCTTTGAATCACTCTAGTCCGTTTCAAATTTTAAGGAGAACATAAGGAATGCAGTGTCGGTTCTGGTGAAATATATTACTCACGGAAAATGCTCACTTTTTTGTGCTTTTCTAAATGAAACCAATTGAAAGGAATTTTAATTGAAATATTTGATAATTTATCAAAAATGGAGATATAAGGTACATGACAATAAGAAAAGAAGCAACATAAAAAAAAAAAAAAAAAAAAACATTAGTCAAAAGTAAAACAGTTGTCTATCAAAATCAGTTTTAAAAAATATACCTATGACTTCTAAGTATGCCTACATAAAGTTAACGAATATGAATATCCACTAGAAAATAAGATAACGTTAATGAATAATACCAATATATGAGAATATAACAAAATAATTCTTAGACTTAAACTTTTTCTGTTATATTTATATTTCATCTTGTATTTTCAGATTTAAATACATTAATATAGTTTGGTTTTGTTCAGACTGGTTGGCTATGAGTAATTCTTGTTACAATCCTTTTATTTATGGACTTTTAAACGTGAGTAAAATATCATTTCAAAAGAAAGAAAAACTTTAATAAATAAAAAAAAAAAAAAAAAAAAAAAAACCAGACCAATAGAATATAAATATTTTTTATTATTGTTATTGTGTATTATACCTGTACTTTAATAACCACATCGGCTATGATTTTGAGTAAATATTTAAAAGGCTAAATAATGAAATATTTAAGTTAATCGAAGCGAAGTGGGTATGGACAAATTATAAGTTGTAGTACATGAACTAATTAGTATACATGTATACAAGAAGACAATGGTTGTTTTATCTACATTCTTAGTATGTTTAGTACAAGCATTAAGGAATTATTGAAAAACAATATGATTAGGAAATAAATTATTGAAGAAAAATCTCCAACGAGTGACTGAACAACACATTAAGTTACATGAGTTAATTATCAATGTTGTTCGGTCATGAAATGAATATTTTCTGCTATTTGATTTTTTGGATTGGTTATTCTTTTTATTACATTAACTTTTACATGGAAGTAATGTAGAAAATTCAAGAAACTATATTATTTCTACGCATTCTCAATTAGTTTTGATTCTACGTCATCACAACAAACAATATCCCATAATTTTATAATGTCGTCAGATGAGTGAAATTATTGTTTTTTTTAACTTAAAATCACAACCAATGTAATGATAAAAACAGCTTACGCGTCTTGCCATTTTCATTAGTACAGATATGAAAATGAGGTGATATGGTATGATTATAAATGAGAGAACTTTGTACCAGAGATAATGCGACGAAGACGTTTGCAACTATAAGTCATCGTACGACCTAAAAAATAAGCAACACCCATACCGTATGGCAATCTATAAAAGACACAGAAATGACAAATCTAAAACAATTCAAACAAACGGTTTGATTTGTGTACTTACCGAGTAACAATTAATGGAAACCAAACTGAATGAACTGATTCTGTGCCTATAATTACCACTGAAGCTAATAACAGATTCTACATCACCTTCCTTTAAATACAATGTTTTGGTTACCATGGCTACACATTTTTCTGAATTATATAGTTTTATTAAAAATCTTTTGTAGGAAAAATTTAAAAGGGAATTTAAAAACTTACGTCAGATTTGTACAAAAAAGAAAAGAAAAGGCAGCAATTATTTGAATGAGTATTCTGACAGGAATAACCAGAGAACCAGTATACTGTACCAAGGTAGTGAAAGTAGTCACGAAAGAAGAAACCAGTCGAGGAAACAAAAACGTAGCGTTTGTTTTACAAGATCCTGTAATCAGTCTACGAAATGTTAAAAAACACGTAATTCCTTGAGAATAATTAGCCAATACTACAAATCTTTATACAATATAATAGTTCATTGACGATTTACATTTTAACAAAATTTGTAGAAGGCGGACAATTGAACTTTAAATGATACTAATAACACGAGCAATACATGAATGAGAAGATAAAAAAGAACGAAGAAAATAGAAGTTCAAAATGCCATTGAGTGTTCTTACTTATGGGAGCCCTGTAACTAAAGAAATCCTTATCTTATGTTTTAATACTTTGTCACTACATGACAAACCGTCTCACCAGACTGCGTCTTATTAAAATGTAATATTTAGTAGTTTGTTTTAATATGACAACATTGTGTATTTGTTGAATATACATACCAGCATTGGCAGTACTTGTTCTGTTATCAAATATTGGCAAATTTAGATATACGTCTATTGATCTTTATTGAAATACCGTTATATACTAGTATCTTTTTTGCATTTAAATCAAATGCATATTCATGTTAGTGAAAACTGTTACTTCAATAATCGATTTGATTGCCTAAATATGTTTATGCACAAGTTAGTTCTGTGTGTCAGAAATGATTTTCGTATTGTTTAATATTATATTAACCAACAAAAGTGTGTGCCTGCGTCAAATCCAGATCGTTTTAACAATATTTTTTCATAGTTGTTGTTTTGTCTATGGTTGAACAACTGGTTATTTTTTCTGTGGAATCGAATGTTTGTGGTTGATGTGGTCTGTTGTACTGTATATTTTTTTAAAGGATTTCTGTTAGCCTTTTGGTGTATTAATAAAAACAAACGTAAATATATTTCATGATATATTTTGAGTTTACTTTTAACACACTTCAAGCTGTGGTATTTTATCACAATATTTAACATTATGTACTGCTTATTATAGTTTATGTAGTTAACAGCATGTGGTATTTGTTTGTTTTTTGAAGAATGAGTTTCATGGGTTTTGGTATTGCTACCTGATTACTTTCTGTTTTTCCGCTTGTCAATCAACAAAGTATTTAATGCGATTTGTTAGGTTGGTCTATATTTGCAAACCATTGAAATGAAACTGTTAATATTAAGTTTCAAGTCGAAATAAGCCTTTATTATCAAAAACAAATATAAATCTATTTTTTGAATATTTTTCAGTATGATTTTAAATACACATCAAGCTGTGGTTTTTTCATGTATTTTATCATAATAGTTAACATCATGTCCTTCTTTATTTAGTTTATGCAGTTTATGTAGTTGATATCATGTGGTATGTGTTTGTTTTTCCTAAGACTGAGCTTCATGGGTTTTGGTATTGCTTTCTGTTTTACATTTTATTTTTTTGCTTGTCAATCCACAAAGTATTTATGCGATTAGTGAGGGTAGTTTATTTTTGGAAACCATTACCACGAAACTGACACCGGTACTGGTTCACCACAGTTTCTTCCCTGTTAATATTAAGTTTCTAGGTGTAATGAATTACAGTTTGTTACATTTTTAAAATATGACAGCTGATGGATTCATTCTGTCTTAGGTTTACAAAATTCTTACTGTTTTCATCCCCGCTTGGTACCTGAACTTGAATATTAGAATTTTGTTTGCGTAACACCGGCATGCCACTTGATATGTTATTTTATATGTTGGAAAATATTCCTTTTTATTGACCTTTTTTTGAAATAAAGATTTCAACCCCTGAACTTAAGTTTTATATACAGCTTAAGCTGTAATTGATAATATGTCTATGGATGCCGTTTGGTTGAAGTACATTTGTGTCCTTTTTCGTGTACCTTCCCCGATACTGCTGAAAACTTCATTAAACTTTCTTTATATTTTTATAGATATTTGCATGTCATTTTGGGAAGTCTTAGAACACATTCACGTCCCCTTCAGTATTGAGATTTCTTTGTCGCGGAAGTTGAGAATTACCGATATGAAAACAAATTCAACTCTATAAGTAGGCTATTTTTTCACACAAATAACTCATATTTTAACATTCCAATTAGAAAACAAACTGACGAAAGCTATCTCTGTTCTCGAAATATTTGTCAGAATGATAATATTTTATTCCATTCGTGATACATTATTATCTTTTATATGTATAGTTTAATTTTGCTGGGGGATACCTTGACGTCACGGTTATTCCCTCTTTATTTTGTTCAGCTACCCAACAACTGTTTTATTTGGAAACTAAGTTAATTTGTATTTGTATTTATTGAATGATAGTCATTATTGTTAATGTTTGCTTGTAAAAATATTTTATTTACATTAGTAAAATTATTCAAAACCAAAGTGTGTAGGGTTCATTATTTCATAGCTATATAAAACTAGGGGATATAGGGCAAATATTAATTTTTCCCTTCGTCTTAGTGCTTCTTGAGTCAGTATACAATTTCTGTCGGATCACATCAACACTCGACTGTTCTACCTGATCACTGTCTAATGTTTGTAATTAGCAGAACATTTACGAATTTATATTCTTTACCACCTTATCATTCGTGATCTTTTTAGATCCAAAAAAATTAAATCATTATCAGTTTAAAACACATTAACAATGCTTGTTCCAACGAGCTTTGATATCTTGCCTTCATTCTATTTACAACATTACAATTGATATAGCTATGCTTAAATAATTGGTAGTAAACTGTGGAAAATATCAGCTAATCTTTTCATTTTAACAAAATTCTCTGCAGCAGTTTTTGTGCTTTTGATTTGTTTTAAGGGACTTAATCACCTTTTTTTAATGAAAATTAAATTTTATAATTATTGCATTTCAAATTGTTTGTTTCGGTCAATGCAATTGCAGAAAAAAAATCAGTAAATTTTAACTGTACCATAATTAAATATATATCTTGATCATTCTCTAGTATTGATAGATGATTAAGTTTGCTAAAACTTCTATACTTTCCAAAATATTCTTATGAGATTAACAATTGAAGTCTCTTTGTTTCAAATATTTAGCAGATGTTTGGTCGCTGTTTATTGGTTATCTAATTTTCCTCATACGTTTCAATCTACACAAAACATATGTTGCATAAAGGATTTCATATCAAAACAAGACAGCTAATTTTACGTAGATGGAAAAACAAAAATGTACTTCAACTTTGATCAAACCATTGTTTAAAGTACATCAATAGTATGTTTACCAGAACAGCAATGCATAATATTTCCATGATACTTTTTTTTATAAAGTCATATATAAGTAGATAAAGACAACAGTAGTACTGTTCAATAGTAAGTCATTTATTTCGTGACCATTATCTCTCAAATAACCTTATACGAAGAAATAGCTAAATCATTTTCACAAAAAATAATAATAAAAGTTTTTAAGAATAACCATAAATATTTCATTAAGAATAATGTTACTGAACAGTCTCCAGCAAATGATAGTTAAATTCAGACCGCAGGACTGGAAATATAAATTGTAAAAAAGGGGTATGTGAAAAGATAAGTAATTAAGTTTTTTGAAATTATTTGATACTAAAGTTAAAATACTATGGCGTTCTGCATTGTTAGAACTATGCGGAATGTCACTGGCTTAATCAAGTTATTTGTACGATACTATTCATTTTGCTTGACTGATGTGTCTTCAATGTACGAACGGTAAACTGGCTGTATAGTTAAATGAAATATACCAGAATGAAAAATTTGTTTGTTACGTTACTTCTCTATGATCTGCGACAAACAATTTCGTTCCAAAATATTGAAAAGAAAGTGTTTTTTAAGTTATAGGAGGTACGTTTATTGTTTTTTGTAGCCGTCTACTGACGCGATACGTCTTCTATGATTTGAATCTATTAAAACAAATAGTTCCTAAAGAGGTTGTTGACATACGATGTTTGTTAAATCCGAATTATGTTCAGAGTTTCAAACGAAAAAAAAAAAATCAGCGATACATATGATAATTGATTGGTTGGTTAATTATTGGTGTTAAATAGCAGTATTTGTTATTAATTGAAGTGTCTAGAAAGAACCACAAACCTTACAGGAAAATTTGAAACCCCAATCAATTAAGCGTAAAGTTGAATGCACCTGCCACATGTAGGGTTCAAACTCACAACCTCAGTGTTGATAGGCTAGTTATACAGTGATCTGCTTAGACCACTATCTGCTATAGAGCACCCGTGTTTAAGTAAAAGGCCTTCCAATGACCTATATAGTTGCTTACATCTACGTTATTTGGTATCCGGTATATATTTGTCTCATAGGTAATCAATAAAGGCAACAGTAGTATACCGCTGTTCGAAATTCATAAATCGATTGAGAAAAACAAACAAATCCGGGTTACAAACTAAAACCTAGGGAAACACATCAAATATAAGAGGAGAACTACGACACAACAGAAACACAACATTAAAATGTAACACAAACAGAAACGAACTATAATATAACAATGGCCATTTTCCTGACTTGGTACAGGACATTTTAAGAAAGAAATGGTGGGTTGAACCTGGTTTTGTGGCTAGCCAAACCTCCCGCTTTTATGGCAATGTAAAATATAACATTAAAAAGACAACATTACATGACAGGACTACAATACAAATAAATGGGAGAACAGATAGGACAGAGAAACATACAAATAATAGCTAACAAAAGGTACCAGTTTAAAATAATCAAACCACATCATTTTAATGTTTCTTTTTCTATTCGCATAGAAAGAGGCGGTATGAATGTCATACCTTTCCTCGAAGAATGTTTATAGTTTAATCATTCTTTTGAACACCTAGAAATACAAAAGGCTTTGGACTGTATGAATATTTAACTTTCTGTTGAAATTTTAGATATACTTATAATTACAAGAATCTCAGGTGGATAACTTAATTTGATGTCTGTACAGATAATAATCGAATATCACTACTGTATCGTGTTCTCAAGGCTTAACACGATCTTACATCAGTAGAAAAAGTTCACTGAATAATTGCCAATGGGACAGTAATTTCCCAAAAGACAACATGATTAGTATAAACACATCGACAATTCACATAATGACCGTCAACCTAAAATATCACTCATACCGCGTAGTAGCTAAAGGCACGGGATTACAAAATGTGAAGCAGTAAAAAAAACCAACGTCCATGAGTTAGGTTAACAAAATTAAACATGTAAAATGAAAACAAGACGTATGACAAAAGACAGCAACTAACGATAACTACTACACTACAGTCTAGACACAGGCACACGACGTCTTCAGCCAAACAGTTTTATGGTTTTACTTTATTCAATTCCTGTGTGCTGGTTCATAATCTGGACGCCAGACTTTGCTCCTTTCAATTGGAAAAACGGATAACAAAATGGAACCCAGAAATAGAAAAATATTAAATACAAAACTCGTTCAAAAGGTATCTACAATCTCAATCTTGAAACTGATATAAATTGAAAAATTTACAGAATTATCTATTTACTCACCTGAAACAAACCGGGATGCGGTATTCAGTACGTAGGTGAAACCGGACGTT